CCGCCGTACATACGAGGTCTTTTTTGATGACAGAGCGAATGCTCAGTAGAGTGGAAGACGTTCGGTCCAGCGAAGATCTTCATGAGCGCGAAGTAAAGCTTTGAGTTGTTCAACCAAGCCGTTTGCTTTGGGGTGGTAAGCAGTGGTGCAAATGTGCTCGCAACCAAGCAGCCGCGTGAAATCACGAAAGAGTGCAGATTGGAATTGAGCGCCTCTCTCAGTTGTTATAGTGTGGGGAACACCGTGGTGGGAAATCCAGCGAGACAGGAAATGTTGTGCGACGGATTCAGAGAAAATGTCTGCCAGGGGATCGACCACCGGCCAACGTGTGAAACGGTTGGCACATGTTAACAGACATTTGAAGTGGGAAGTAGGCCAACAAGGTCAATGTGAACACGAGAAAAGCGAATTCCTGGGACGAGGAAATGACTTAGGGAAGAAACATTGTGGCGGTGAATCTTGTTTTGTTGGCACTGTGAATAAGATTTTGCCCAATGTCGGACGTCTTTGTCCATCCCGGGACAAAAGTAACGATCGGCAATCAGACGTAACGTTGAAAAAACACACGGGTGCGAAAATGAATGAAAATCTGTAAAAATGGGTTTACGCATACTAAACGGTAAAATGGGTCGAGGGTGTCCAGAGGAAGTATCACAGAAAATGGTGGACGGTGAATGGGGAAGAGGAACTTGCGTGCGCGTAATGAGGTGGATTTGAGCAGGTATCCGAAATGAGAGTCACTGAATAGATGTTGAGAAATGGTCTCAAGGCTGATATCGGATGGTGTAATCATACTGTTGATGTTGAGCCGAGAGAGTGCTACGGTGTTGTCCGATCCGTTGGTGTATCGGATATCGATGGAAAATTGAGAGATGAAATCCAAGTGACGAATTTCGCGCGGAGATTAACGATTAGAACGTGCAAGGGAAACAAACATCAGTGGTTTGTAGTCAGTCATGATGATGAATTGACGACCTTCAAGGAGGTGACGAAAATGTCGAATGGTAAGGTATACTGCCAGTAATTCGCGACCAAAGGTTATGTGATTAGTTTGGGATGATGAAAGCTTCTGTGAACAGAAAACCAAAGGCTGCTGGACATTTGCTATTGTTTGATGAAGTGACGCTCCAACGACATGATTCGACGCGTTGGTGTGCGGCACCAGTTGAGTCGATGGAGATGCGTTGAGGTGGAACAACATGGTGGCGTCCTGAAGGGCTGGTTTGGCGTTATCAAACGCTTTAAGCGCTTCAGACAACATCTTTTGCAATATCGCGGAGCAAATCAGTGAGTGTATAAAGTATGGCGGAACAATTGAGGATACAACGATGATAGCAATTATTCAAACCCAAAAGATTTAAGTTTTTTAACAGAAGTAGGACGGGGGAGGTACTGAATTGCTCGAACCTTGGAAGACAGTGAGGGAATGCTTCGAGAATCAATTTCATGGTCTAGAAATTCTAAGGATGAGACACCGAAAATGCATTTAGATGGGTTCAGTGCAAGGCTATAATGCTTAAACCGTGGAAACAGAATGTGTAATTGAGAGCTATGGTCTTCGGGTGAAGTGCTAGCTATGAGAATGTCATCCAAATAAACGAAAACAAAGTCAAGACCTTGAGTTACTTGGTCTCCAAAACGTTGAAAAGTTTGTGCTGCTATATGTAAACGAAAAGTCATTCGTGAAACATTCGAACATACCAAATGGGGTTGTGACCGCTGTTTTGGAAATGTTCGCTGGGATGTGGTTAGCCGCAATACTGTAGATGCATATAAAAAGGCACTTGATGTGTTTTGAGTAGCGGTTCTCGGAGGTGAGCTTTATGTGCTACCTACAACCTTAACACAAAGGATGTGACCCTGTACCGTAATGTTTTCCCTATCAGAAGATTTACGTATGGACGTGTTGCAAACCAAGGAATCTCGTCGAAATCGCACGAATCTGGACAGTCAATTGGCAACAGCCACAAATCGTCCCGTGGGAATTAAACTGAACTGCACTGAAAGTAGCATGAATGCGCTTATATTAGGAAGTGAATGTAAAAACGTAATAAAACGATAATTATACAGATTATTCGACGTGCTTACGTTCACCGGTGTGCTTCAAAAACATTTCTATACAAATTTCAATGCTTGAAGGCGAAAAGTGAAACCAACTTCGGTACTGAACTTCGTCGCCCGGTCTTACCTCCTTTCTTCACAAGGAGGGATGGCGGTATTTTGAAATTCTCAAAGCTGCACAAAAAACAGTGGACGTATGAACAAATTGCATTTATTAAGTATCATGATAAAAAACATCAATTTAATAAATTTGGTATTGTACCTTTCACGTGAAAACTTTTCATGTGAAATTTATTACCATATAAAAAGTAAAAGCTTTTACCCGGGGATGAACGTCCATCAAGTACACCAATTTTTCATACGAGACATTTCCGTACGACATTTGAACTGTACTGGCACACATGGAAAAGATTCATCCCCCTTATTTTTCTAATTTTCCTCAACCCTCTTTTAGAAGTCTTTTTTTATTAAATTTTACACATTTTTTCATAATTATTGTCATTATCATATTGTATGGCTATTACTGGACTTTTATTAAGGCAACTGGTGTCACTTTCATACATGCTACTTACGAGTAGATGATTTCAAATTGCGTAAATTGCATAGTGGGGACAAGGGGGGGGGGAAGCAGATTGTAAATATGCGAACCAATAAAGTCAATCTCCTACTATGTCGCACCCCTCGGGAATTCGAAAAAATGGGCAAATTCCAGGAACGGCGACATTGCTTGCTAGTCAGTTGTACATGTTATTAAGTAGGATGAAAAATTCGTTGGCAGTTTTGTGACAAAATAAACCAGATCGATGAAAACCACGTTACTTCCGTTACATTTTCGCAATGTTTATAATTATGTACTGTTTAATTTTAACGGAATTTAGATATACCCTTCTGCGTATCCAAGAAACTGAAATCTTTTACAATGTCTCCAGCTTAATATTAGTACATCGCATCCGGTATTCAGCCCTTTTGCAGTTTTATGTATCTAGTTATCCCAAAACTACCTACCTTTAATCATTGGATTGTTATTTCTAACCCAATTATCGCATGGTAATCCAAGATATTTCTCCATTCCTTTGCAATGTTGGGCTAACCACAGAATTGAGTATATAGCGCATATCATAATCGACAATTCTTTTAAATATTAGAATCCCAGCATCAATATTACCTCAATCGATGAAAACAGGAGTGAGCCAGATTGAACACGGGACAAAATATCGCACTCAACAGAAATCACGTCATCTAAAATAATTGAAATATATGTTACAGGGTATACTCAATAAATAAACTTCTCTCTCATAATCCAAATTGATTGTTCGCTGTGCAATCTATTGGTGATTGAAGAACAGTCCGGAGGCAGTCGTGCTTATTTGAATACTGCCACTTTTGTTATAGCAAGGGGCGTTATCTATAAATAGTAAAATAGAGCGTCTTTGAAAAACCATCTTGCGGTTGACATCCGACAGCTAATTGTGAAATAACGCAGAGTTCATCCATGGGTTCTTTGAAGAATTATGACGGCAGGGAAGGCCTTTCTATCCATACCTTAAAGATACCGTGGAGTTTGAAGTTGTCCAATAACCAATGGTGATGACCTTTCTCCGGTTATGCTCACACAAAGCAGTAACGTGACTCTTTCTTTGGATTTGTTGGATTCAGAAACTGTTTCTCCTTTGACACTGAATGTTCTTTCTCGGAGCTGCTTGTACCGCAAGATTGTTTCACCTGCATTTGAAATATCACAGTCAGCGTATCAATAGCTCAACTGCGATAGCCCCACTCGAAAATCGTCCACTGCATTAGATGGTACCGCCAAACTTTGACCTCAAACCTTTAGAGTAATGCACATGAGTAGTTGTTTGTCTCTTGCTTTCTAGGATTGAAAAACACGTCTGTCTGACCAAGAGCGAAAACAACTTTAGGAAGCCTTGAAGTCACGATGATGCATTTTTTGTGCTAACTGAATTGCCTTATCCCAAAAGATGCTCTTCATTATGGGGAACCCGTCGTGCTTTTCACTCAAAGCAGTAAACCAAGCCAATGTTGTCTCATGTATTGTTTTGAAATTTTCGTTGGTTTTCAGGTGACATCTTTCCTGAGACGCTCCAGCGTTTACAAATTATCCGATAGTGGTTCGATGGGATATTGCATATTACATATTACATAACACTATAAACAATTTTCTTGAAATACGAAGTGATTCACCCATGGAGCTCTGAGTTGCACTTGGTTGATTCAGCATTTCCAAGACGTTTCGATCGATAGGCAATCGCACATTTTTAAGTAAGGTGACAGTCTTTGATTATTGGCGTCAGTGTGCCTTCCCCACAAAGATTATCCAATCAGTGAACAGTGTCATGTTTTGCGTCACACTAGGTGAAACGCCATTGGTTGAGTGTGACATTGCAGGGTGGCTGGTCAATGGCCGTCCCGAACATCGGTCGACGACCAAGTGAGTAGGTATCGGGAACGGCGACATATTGATGCGGGTGACAGTACATGGACAGAAAGTACATGATCACGCATAGGGCTGGTTTTGATTTTCCAAAAGCGCGGGAAGATGTTGAACCAGGCGAATTCTGAGGGGTGCGACATACTGAGAGATTGACTTTATTTTCAAAGGTAAATATTCTATTTTGTTTTAAATCATCCTGTTGAACTTCACATTTATTAGCGTTCTTAAGTTGGCCGCGGTCCAAATAGGATTTTGGAGAGGTGTTATAAATTGAGTAATTCAGCCGACTTTGCTTGACGATGTATTCGCGGTATATCCTGGATAGCCCATTTCTTGGCCGGACATTTCTTCTTATTCCTTTTCATCTCTCCAAATTGTGGGTCACTTGTCAAGCAGGCCAAATAAAGTAGATGGACCTGTGTTGGTTGGCGCCTTTTGACTGCAGCCTTTGCTCGAAGAGAGCTATTCTGTCGTTCAACTCCAATTCATGGCTTTGCCACTGGAACTTTATGTCTGTGGTTCGTGNCTACGGAACTCCGGTTACCGGTTGTCACAAGTTAGCATCAGATTCTTTGAACTGTGGCCTTCAGTTGCATCGTTCATCGCGCAATATGGTGCAATAAACAGGCTAAGTAAAACCGTTTTTCCCAGGGTAGGATTTTTGCTTTATAAACAGTAACTTAGGACGGAGTTAAAAGAGGCATTTTGTTTGGGAAATGGCTGATTTTATGCTGATCAGAAAAAAATTACTTTAGGGTTGAAACAGCTGGATCTAACAGTTGGATAACCTCAATGATTAGAGCACGTCGGAGTAATTGCAGCAAAATAATCCAGTTCTATACCATTACATTAGTATCAATCATTAGTGTATCAATATGCATCCCAAATGATTTGTTTTTTGTTGCGGAAGATTGTCCACAGTGCGTTTATACAATTAAATCTCACATCATCAATCCTTCGTTGATTGTTCCAGGGTTACGATACACCAGCTGGACAACGAGGATCTCGATTGTCTGGTGGTCAAAAACAGCGTATCGCCATTGCTCGTGCATTGTTGCGTAAACCAACTCTGCTACTGCTGGATGAGGCCACCTCTGCATTGGATGTGGAAAGTGAAAGAGTTGTCCAAGACGCACTTGATGCTGCCATGGGGTCACGTACTTGTCTTGTAGTGGCGCATCGCCTGACCACCGTGGAGAATGCCGACCTGATTGTTGTATTGGAGAATGGAAGAAAAATCGAGGCCGGTGCACCGGAAGCCTTGATGCAGGCTAAAGGGGCGTTTTACGCGCTTCATCATACAGAAGAAGCTGGACATTGAATTTTGTATTGCCCAATTCTTGAAATACGACAGAAACTGTCATATCATGCACTTTTTAATAATAATTGAAAAGTGATATTTTATATGTCATGTATTTAGTGTATAGAGATAATCCTTTTATAGAGTCCAAAAGAGCTTAATCACCTAACTGTGAATAGCACTCAGTTTTATCTTTCTTTCTGACCTGTAGCGAGTCAGTACAGAGGAATCTTGTCCGAATTAATTATGCTGTGTATACACCGTAAATTCGGTCATAAACGCAATGTACTCCTGAGTTGTCTTTTGAATTTTATGCTTTACACAATGGAATGATGTTAACATTGCTGAAGTGTACCCGTTTTTCGTTCTCTTCCAATTACGCACGATTTACATTAGACTGAATCCGAAATTCATTTTTCTATCCGACAGATAATCAAAGTTCAAACTTGATGTGTTATTTTTCCGGTGTTCCGTCATTATAAAGTCACAAAGATCTGAGCGCCTTTGGAATGACCAATAACCATGAGCTTCCAAGACTTTCTGATTAAGGACTAATCTGAACTATCGGACGAGGAAACCCAAATGTGTAACGAAGTAACTAGGTTGAAGTAACTAGATGAATTCAACAAGAAATGCAAGAAGGATCAATACACCTTGACTGGAATCGGAAGAATCAATTTTTACCGAAAGGTTGGCCTGCTACATGACTCAATGGAACTTATTTCTTTGTAGCACTTGAACTGATAGTATCACGAAAATTTACGTGAACGGAGAAGCGCTTCTATTCGTTCAAAGTAAACGTCATTCATTATTTGTACAAGTATGCTAATATCAGTAACAGAAAAGATTTTGAAAAAATGTGGTTATATACACATACATATCAAAGGTGATTTCGTCGTGTATATATCAAATAAAGCGTGAACTGACAAGCTAAGAAGCACTGGACAGCTGTTTCTACCTGGCTGGGTCTCATCAGCAGTGCGAATCCATCGACCCAACTGGGGATCAAACTCGGGACCTCACAGACAGAACGCAAGCATGCTATAACAGTTTCCGAGTGGCATTAAATGATTTGTACTTATAGAATTTTTCCGAGGAGCAACAGTAGTCCAATCTTTGTACGTATGCTGTGAAGAATAAAGCATTAGAGCCATCTCGCCGGTACTTGGATGGCACTGCTACAATACCAATGTGCTGTCAGGGTCAGCAGGTTTGCACGACCATCGATCCTGGTTATGTGATTGAAAAAGCTGCTGAAGCGGGTTAAGATAAAACAAGTTAAAACCTTCACCTATGTATACCGGTTGTTTATAGTGATCATTTATCTCCGTATTGGAGCTCAGATTTGGGACGTGTCCTGAGAAGTCGAATTATTGGAGGTATTACAGCGGAATGCACAGGAACAACAGCTTTTGTGAGAATACTAAATGTAGACTAAATAAATGAATAAATTTTAATCCTACAAATCGGTTGAATGATAGTTGAAACATACAACAAAGGACAAAGTGAATAAAATAAAGCAAAGTTTATAAAAACGCATTGGTTTTCCATCCTGTCCGTCATTGCGGTTGAACTGGATTGGAAAGGGTAGTTTTTGTTGACTATTGGGGAAGGAAACTCAAATTCAGACAAGCTAGTGAGCGGAAGTGATGATTATAAGAAGGCTGCAAACTTCTCTTTTCTATACGCTTAATTGAGTGTATGCTGCAGTAGTCCGGTAAGTTGTCCTATGCGGCACAGACTTGGTTGTTACGAAAATAAGATGAAGATAGAAGACTGTCAAAGTTCGAACACCCATGTCTATGCAACCTTTTTATGACTCTGGTGGGGGAACCGGACAACAAATGTTGAGCTTCGACGCAGAGATATAGGTAAGCTCGATCGCCCTCTGAACAAATAGTCACCTTTGTTTCGGACATGTTGCTGACATCTCTAAATTGGTTGTCGCGCCGCCTGCCGTTTGTCGAGGGATATGGTGAATGAAGAAACGAGGTGGTCAGACCTGGCAAGAGAGTATAAAAACTCCTCCCAGGAGACTTGTACACGTAGATCGCGTTAGGCTTCCTGGGTGGGAACATCGGGATCAACGTAGTGACTGGTTAGAGACACTTAGTGACATGTTTGGGTGTCCTAAGCAGTGGGGCTCATGTATCTACTCAGTGTCCTTGGTCTTTGCAAATTCTCTATTTTCACCTTGATACTACCTTGATGAACTGTGAGTCGAAGTATTTTGCGGTGTCTGCTATGTGGATACCTGAAATAACAAATCCACTTTACGATCCATCCAGGTTTGCTTATCGCGCTAAGGTTTGATGTTTCACCTTTATCAATCTTAATCCACATACTTTCTAACTATTGCGGTTTGAGAAACAATTTAGACGTCTGCGCATTACCCAGTTAAACTGATGTCTGATTATTTGAACAGGTGATTACTGAGCTACTTCAGTCTTTTCCTTTTCGATGTATAAAACCGATAGTGAATTTCTTTTCCTATTAGGGATTCAAATAAACCATTGCGTGAGGTGATTTTGAAATTGGGAATGTAAGTTTCATGCTACAATTTTTCCAATCAGCCGAAAATTCAGCTTCGGGAACCACTCAGCCCTAGGATCAACTACGCTGAATTCAATCAAAACCTGTTCCCAAATCCCCGTTGAAAACGTCAGTTTGCTGAAGTGATAAGTGAAGAACTTCAGAATCTGTGTTGTGAATGCTTTCCTCAGTTTGGTCAGGTCTGACTGAATATGACCACATGAAGTTGGGTGTCTAGTATTCCTTAGATAACAAATTCACGCCGGGGACATCCACCACTGTTGTAATAAACACTACTAGGATCGCGTCTCACCAACTTGGGGAGTGATTTGTTAGTCGTGTTTACTCCACCGTATAAAAATAGAAAATTTCCAAGATATTTTTTGCTCGCATGTAACTCACAGTCACTTGTGAGTAGTGGTTTGGAATATTTTAATATTTAATTGATTTGAACTGACTATTCTTCTGCCCTCACTTTCACGCATAATCCTCAGTTCGTCGATTCAACCAACACTCAGAAGCACTAGACTTGCACTACTGATGAGCTATAATAAGAGCCAAACTCGAGTCTAGTAAAGCTGAAGTTAAAAGGATAGTCAGTTCAAATCAATCAATATTTGTTACTCTTCGTCTACAATGTTTCGTAGATTAAAAAACCTATGTTTATCCTTTATTTAGAGCAATCTTTCCACCGTAAGCTGTCTTTTTGTCGATCATTTCAGTTTTAAGGTTGTCCTAATAATCGACTATCTTATAGATGAATAAGTGCGGGCATTTATTCAGTCTGCACTCCTGTCTCATAAGTCTGAACTCGTACCCCCGTGCTGAGGACCTTTATTTAGTCAAGAGACTCCTTCCCTCTTCGCCTAATAGCCCCTCCAAGATTTCGATGGTTTCTCTCAGGTTCCCCTTGAGTGTCCTCCTTATTGAGGAACGCCTTTCCCACATTTCTTTCAACACATTGGACTTCGACCCATTTTGCGGCTAATCTCTGAATAATAGGCATCCTTCCCGAATAGGATTGACGAAGTCCATGTGAAATACACCACAACCTTGCATACAAAAACGAAAACCTCCGGTTCCCTAAATGACACTACCGAGCACAAACGTGATAAACCCCGTTAGCTTTACACGTCCCTATTGTACGCTTATGTACCCAGGTCAAGGCTACAATCATCATTATCCTCATGTCCTTAACAAGTAATCAGAACACAAGTTGTAGGCGAACATATGTTTTCGGTGAGTTCCTTCTCTCACATAACGGGAAGGTGTTTTGTTGGGGTCAAACGGTCGAGGTCAACTAGTTATAGCAAAGGGGTGGGACAGGGAAATGTTTGTCTTTGGTTCTCTGGTTCAGATAAGAACGGGTTACGTAAGTGTTGATAATCGTCTTGGGTCATCACAACGCTCATGCGTGATGTTGTCCGCTTTGGACCAGGGTAGTTTAAGTGCCTGAACAAGTGTTTTTTGCGCACACAATTCTGGCTTCAACAAGCGGCTGGCTTGAAAAGGAACTCGCCGAAAATATATGTTCGCCTACAACCTGTGTTTTGATAATAACTATGGGCTTATCCTAGTAGTAGTATCAGTGGGTTGGCTTGCTCCATGGTTAACTTATGCTCCTCTGGTTGAACTTGCAGTCCGCTTATCAGCCACGTGAGTGCATGGCTCTGGTTAGCGTGGTCCGCAGTCTTTGCTCATTTATCCAGGCCGCAATGTAGCATACCGGGTCGTCCCATGAGGTTATTCCTAGAACCCGCTCAGTGAAATGCTACAACATAACAGTTTTAGTGGTTCCGGCACCATGATAACTAATAGTTTGAACCATAATATACGAAAATTTCTAATTTTTCCATCTACAGAAGTATAAATATTATATTTTTGTGACAGCACCCTTTTGGCTTTTTCTTACATTTACACAGATTCTGGACGCTCAGCCGATTTAGTTCCTCAGTTGATTAATGCATATTGTCTAAATATCACCAACAGCATTGAAACGGAGGTCGGTTAATCCTCCACGGCTGTGTGTATCGCAGATTGTTTCGTCACTTAATTTCACATCCCGTTTCCAAGCGATTCCCAACTTTCATCCGCAAATAACCTGTTGACAACGGGAATCAGCACGTCTCTTGATCCGTCCATAAACAAGTGTTTAGTTAAGTTGGAAGTTAACCAATCCGAATACTTTGAACTATGTGAGGAATGCTTGTTGCAAGACAGACGGCCATTTATAATAAGCCTCTATGAGAAGTAGTCATCGCTTTGATACTTGGTCCAGGGTGATGGTTGAGACTGGGTGTTCTGAACTTTACCTCAAGAAACGACTAGAAACGTATCCAGTGTAAAATATATGCGCTTTGCTCGAGAGTACTGCGGTTAGCATTAGATGGACGACGTTTGCACATACGAGTTCACTAACATATAGATACAGCTACACATTCATGGTCTACCACCTTTCCGTAATTGTTATGTTCAAATCTGGTTCATCT